GTTAAGATACCTCACATGCGTAATATGACCACTTTGTAAAGGTAACCAAGTGGATTTACCCTAGAGGTGCTTGTGTGTAAAATGTATTGTTTTCATGCTTGATTTTGTCTTGAATTAGGATTTTCTAAGTATTGGTTTTAGTCTTTCCAAACAAACTCTAATTACTAGCATGTTATATATAAAGCGATAAATTGCGGAATTTAAAGTTACTATGCTATTACAACACTTGTGGGAGATGCCACTCATCCTTACAAAATCGGCCTTGTAAGGTGGGGGATGTCACTCTATATAAACTCTGATTGTAAGGTGGGGTATACAAATTCATGAATGGGGATTGCAAGAATTTAAACTTAATTAGTCTATTACAACCATATTGAATTGGTATCAATTTAAATGAATATAATGTACAAAATGAATAAATGTATAAAAATGCAAAATGTAAAGAAAATGGATCTTTGTTTGATTTTCATGAGAAAAAGGAAATTTGTTTTAACCTAATTAATTAAAGAAAATAATTAATTAAACTTAAATTTATCAAGAAAAGATTTTAAATAAACCCCTAAGTTTATTAATTGATTAAAAGAAAATAAGTTTGTAAGAAAAGTATTTTTTTTGGTATTCTTGTTTTGAAAATAATTTATAGTATTATAAAAATATTTTTGGCCTTTTTTATATTGAAATAATATATTTTTAATGGTGTGAAAGAAAATAAATAAAAACACAGTATTTTAATTAAATTTACAAGATAATTAGTAAAATAAATAAAGTATGGTTAGTAAAATAATTTTTTGTGTGAGAAAAATAAATAAACTAATTTAAAATGAAAATCTAATATTTTGGTATTTTTTATGATTTTTTTAATATTAGGAAAATATTTAGGAAAATAAAAAAAATTAAAAAAAATAAAATTGGGCCAGGGGCGCAAATAGCCTGCAGGGGATTAAAAAGAAGAAAAAAACAAAATAAACAGGCCCAAGAAGGCCCAGCGCGTGCAAAAAGAAAAAAAATCAGAAAACAAGAAAATGTGAAAAATTCCAAAAAGGGTACCACTGGGACTCGAACCCAGGTCCCAAAGATTACAGGCGCGCGCTTCTACCACTGGGGTAGCTATACATTCGTTAACATAAGAAAAACAATAAATATATGATGCAAAATGCGCCCTGATGACTTCATCTTCAACCTCCAGTCAGACCAACTGTAACTTGCTCATTTCTCATCAAAAATGAAAACTGTAAACATGAAACTTGTAGCAAATTTCCTCACGGTTTCAAATATGTAAAGCATTAAAACTATAGATCAAAGATAACCATGAATTTTATTGGCCCTAATCTGAACCCTAAAAATCTCAGAAACTTCAATCTTAAAATTCTCTAAGCTCAAGCAAAATTAATGGAAACTATGGACATGGTTAGCTTTAGGGCAATGATATCTACATGTTTTATTCACAAATAAATCATTAATGATGCATGTATGAAGAGTTCAAAGTTAAGAAAACTTACCTCAAAACTGGAAATCGTGTTTTGAGTTTGAGCTTGTTTCAAGTGATGGTGATGATCAGGTTAGCTTCCTTGAGGTCCCAGGAAGCTAATGTAATGATTAGCTTGAACAATGGATGGCTGAAATGGTCTGGAGAAGTCAATGTGCAGAGCTCTGTTTCTGAAAATGGAGGATGGTGTTAATGGTGTTACATTTCTGTAACATGGTGTGGGATCAATTATATATGATGTTTAGAAGCTTTAGAAACCAAAAGGCCAAGAAACGCACGAGTAGATTATGAGTTTCAAGTTTTTGGTCAGTTTGTGTGAAAATGGAAGTATGAGACGTGTTTCTGAGTTCTATCTCTTTTCAGTGGTCAAGCATTCGTGTATTTGTGGCCAATAGTTTGTGTATGTATAAACAAAAGTGTTTGAGAGCTTTGGACAATCAGAAGTACAAGTTTCTAGCTTTTGGCTAGGTTACTTGATTTTGAAGAAAAGAGGGAAACAAGTTTCAAGAGGAGGTACAAGCATGAGTTGGATGATTGTAAGTGTCTAAACCATTTCTCATGAGTTATAGGACTTGTTTGATCATAAGAGAACAAGTGCAAGGCTCAAGAACAAGTTTTGTACAAAAAGTCACTTTATCAAAATGGCAATGTAACATTTCTTCCAAAAATGGATATAAAGCATGTCCATGCATTGAATGCTTGAAGTGAAACCTCTAACAGCTGTGTAAACCATTAATTATGGAGTTCCTAACAAGTTTTAGGCCTTCAAATTAGTGTTTATGAAGCATAGTTTGAATTTTGAATTTGGTTCATCACAAAATGACTTGTAAATCAAGTGATAAAACCCTAACTTCATCTCTTCGATTCTCCCTACTCAAGAATGATCTCAAGGAGTTCTTGGATATTTTGGAAATCTTGTAATGTGATCTACAACACATATTTGAATTTCTTTTGAAGATTCCTCTTGGAACTATATGAAAAAGTGCCATGAAGCTGGGTCAAAATCCTGACCAAATTAGGGCAAAATTTCACTATGTGTTTAGTTTCATGACCACATGTTCTTAAAATTATAACTTGAGATCCAAGCACTTTTGGAAGGAGTTGTGTAAATAAAAGTTTTAGAATTCATGGATATCTACAACTTTCATGTTTTAAGTTTCTCTTGAATCATCTTGCATCATGGTAAAAAATTTGTTCAAAGTTGTGAAAAAATATGAAATTTCCAACACTTAGAAAAATTTCTAAGTTTAGAAATTTTGACTTTTCAAAATGAAATCTTGAATTTTTGATTTCTTGATGAATAGGCTTCATATTTTTACATGTTTTAATGAATTGTGATCTTTGACACTTGAATTTGACCAAGAAGTCAAAGTTTGACTTTTCAGTATACAGTTGACTTTTGATCAATTGACTGAAAAACTCATCTGTCAATCCAATGGACTTGCAATGTTTTGAACCATGTCATTAGGTAAAAGTTATGCAATTATACTCTTGTGATCATGCCTTAAACCAATTGATGATTTTCTAGGCTAAAAATCAGAAATTGTCCTTTCCCAGTCAAAACTCTAATTTTGACCATTTTGCCCTTTTAGAGATTTGATCAAATTTCTTGGGGAGTTGTGGTCCAAACTTGATCAAATGATACATATGAGTTTAAAATGTTGATGTGGATCAAAAATTATGAAGTTTGACTGTAAATTGGCCATGGTTGACTTTTCCCCCAATACAATTGATTTTTAGGTCAACTGCTCAATTGACTGAACAAAAGTGTGATCCAAGGCTTGAAACTTGACATGAGTGAGCTTGGGGGTTCATAATGATCCATGAAAGTCATATTGGGCATTGGAAGTTCAAAAATCCTTGTTCAAACTCAAACCCTAGTTTTGGTCATCAGTGCTTAAGGAGGTGTCTTGAGCTGATCAAACCCTAGTGCAGTCTTGAGCTAAGGAGATCTTGTGAGCAAATTCTTGATAAGTGAGAGGGAAAATTTTGGGGTACAACACATATGAACATATTATAATTCTATTGAATATGGGGTAAGATGATGGATTGTGTGATCTAGAAAGCAACAACAAGTTTTGTTTTATTGGTAAAAGATGCGTAAGTTACTTTTGATGTTATATCCGAGAATATTCGGAAAAGGTATTTCATTTCATGATGTAGGTTTATCTTAAAGAGACATACTCAATGAAACCGAAGAATGAATTCATCAACCAAATCGGTGAAATATGAGAAGGAGAAAGGTAACTAACATGAAAAGGATAAATATGAGAATTCAATCAAAATGAATTTTCATCAAATCAATGACCTTATTGGATTCATCACAAGGTATACTTTTGGGTACTTTGTAAAGGTGAAAAGTGGTAAGATCAATTTGTTCTAAAATCTTTGTGGCATACTTTACATTTGGTGCAACTTTCTTTCGAGAGTTTCGTGTAAAATACAAGTGCATCTTATATCATATTGTACGATGAGGTAGTATCGATATAACTTTTGCTTTGTTAGTAAGTTCTCTCTTTTACTTGTTTGTTTATCTAAATGTATGACAAACTTGGTGTATGGTATATATATTATGAGTACTCATTTGCAACATAATTCTTAATTGATAATGATATCATATTTGATTCTACTAACATATAACTTGTCAAAGAGTTCTCTAAGTTTATGCAGGGAGTGGTGAAATGAGTCTTATGGGAAGTTGAATTACTTTTTCAGACTCTAAATATAGTAGCTCAAGGAAGGAATACATGTTTGGGGAACTACCTTTGCGATCATGTTGAAAATTGGGAATTATTAATGTCTCCAATGTTGCTTTCTTTATTATGATGATTTCACTTTTATACTTTTTCTCTAACAATTCGTTTGAGTATTTTACATCATGTGAGTGAAACTTCCATTCCATCAAGAGTGAGGTAATATTGTTCCAAATCTCTCTTTGAAAGTAAGAAGTTTCTTAGTACATGTTTTAGTTGATGAAAAATGCTTGCTATATTCTTAAATGATGAAAACCATGAATGTTCATTTGCAATTTTTTTATTGATAAGCATTGTGTGTTCTCAATGTATATGTTTATAATGACTTCGTGTATTAAATTTCTCACATTTGTATAAGTTTATTCTTGTATGTACAAGTATGTGTTTCTATTATTATTTCTTGCATTTGTGCATGATTTGAATGTGAGCATGTTAATTGCATGTACGATTCATGTTATAGTTAAGTCACATTTTATGGCAATATTTTCATTTTGGATTGAGTAGTGACATGTTCTTGTCACTGTGCTAGGCACATACGTGTGCAGCATGGGAGTTCCATTATGTTGTGTTACGAAATTGTGACGCTATAGAAGCAACTTAATAGCTTGCTCTTGCATCGCAATCATTATTATTCATACAATTGCACTAAATGTGCTAATGTTAGACCAATTGCTCCTGTCCCACAATATATATCAAATAGTAATGTATCTAGACCTAAGCATGCCCAATCTTCGGAGTATAACTTCTCAGCAGAAAGTGTGTTAACCTAGCAGTAGACTTAAAAATTTATATTCTGGGAAAATAAATGTTGTCGAAACCAATATGAAACAACAATTTTCCTTCCACCCTGGAAAAATATAGAAAATCAGAGATTACTGATATAATCATGAATTCTAACTTCTGCAACATTAATGCTTTCATCCCTCCTAGGATCACCAACTACTATGGGAAGTGAATGCAGTGATGCATCACATGGTCATACATTAGGTATTCCTTGGTGATCTTACATGAAAGAACAATTTCCATCAAAAATCAATCCAAAAAATAAGTTACACCATAAGAAATTCCCAACAGCATATACTGAATCATAAAAAAAATCTTGTTTGAATGCATATCGTAGTAAACGGGATGAATGACAAATATATTATATAAGATTTTCGAAATTAAAGAGTGATAAATTACTGCAAATCGAATATCTTTAAGTACATCTAAGCAGAGAAGGATATGGAATGGCTTTTTCTTAACGAATCTAATATACTTCTTCATCAATTGTTTTTTTATCATTGCCATAAGTAAAGGAACATTTTCAAATTTCTTCACATTTTTATGTTTATTTTTTCTATCATAGAGTTGTAAACCATCTGCAGGTGATGACTATTCATATCAAAATTTGAAAACTAAAAAACAGATTTTAGATAGGGAATAAATTATCATCTGATTTCAAAATACTTGGAAATTCATAACATTAATTCAAGACAGAAAAAACATTTTATAACATTATTCACAAATCACAAAAACATTTCAAAACAGATGACTATCCCTTCACGAATTACAAAAACATTTCATAACATTCATTTACAATGAAAATTCAAGACACAACAACATTAATTCAACTCAAAAAACTTACCACACTGGCCTTGATCTTTGACCTGATTAACAACACTTTTCTCCCTACAATCAATAGATTCCGACAATTCCTCGTTATCACCAAAAGCATAACGGTTACTCTTCTTCGACCTAGATAAAAACCCTTTGGATTTTCTAGGTTTTGTACCTAAAAACATGGAATGATATTCCTCATTGGTAAGATCAGCAAACTTCGTGAGACCCAACTTGTAGGTTTGACCCTCCAAACTGTTGAGTTTCGATGAACTGCAGATTATCTTTGAAAATTTCAAATCTTCTTTCTTTCTCACCCAAAGTATTATAAGACTTACCATGTTTCACCAACCACGATTCAACAACCTGCAAAGAAGAGGAATCCACCATTTTTGAAAACAGGAAAGAACATAGAAAGAGAGAAAGAGAAAATGAATTCGCCTACTTAATTATTTCATGAAGGGAGATGCAGTGTCGTAAAGAAAATAAATAGAAGTAGATACAGTGTAGAGGAATGGTCTTACTATCATGTTTTATATAAGAATGTGAGGAGAATAAAGGAATTGAAAAAGTTGAGATTGTTTCAAAGCAAATTAAGAATCTTGAAGGATTTAAAGATAAATTGAAACGTTTCTAAAGCAAGTAGATAAAAGATCAATATATAAATAATTATTTCAAAATTTTTTTGATAGAAATAATTATTCCAATTTAAAGTTTAATGAAAAGAATTAAATAATATGCAATAAAGTAAGTTATAAATGCTAAGAAATAATTAATTGATATAATATAAAAAAATAAAATGCAACAATAATCCTGAACATAGCGGTATTTAATGCCCAATCAATATAAAATAAGTATCGTGTAATTAGACAATTTTATTTTTATAATTATATTAGATTTAACTTTTTAATCAGAGAGCTTATAATATAATTATCATATACTTTAGTTTTTATATATTTATAATAAATTTTCAAATTTTGACACAATAGAAAGCCTGGGTGAGAAGTCATTGTAAGTGTTTGCCCCACACCTTTTTTTTAACAGAAGCTATAAGTGGGTTTGGTCTGCATTCCACGTACTTTTCCACTTTAAATCCTCTTTTTCCTCAATGTAAAAGGCTGCTTAGTATACAACTGTATTTACACTACAACCAAATCGATTTAAAAAATTGATATTTTTTAACTAGTAATTTAACAAATACAATTTGTTTTTGAAAAACATAGGGTCTGTTTCTTTTAATTTTAAGTAAATAATTTTTAAAAAAAAATATTTTTAGAAAAATATTTTTTTAAATATTCAAAGTTTTTTTTAAAAAAATTTATAAATTGAAAAAATTGATTTTGACGTCATGTAACATGAATATATGTTATGAAGATTAAAACATAATTAAAATAATAATTTTTCAAAATAATATATTTTAAAAATAATTTTTATAAAAAATTATTGAAATAATTTCAAATTTAAGTGAATTTTAAAAAAAAATTATATTAAAAAAAATTATAGTAAAAAGATGAAATGATTAAAATAACATTTTAAGATTAATTATTTAAATTAATTTGTCATTTGAATTTTTTAATAAAAATTTGTAAAAAAAAATTTAAAACAAAAATATATAATACAACAAAATCCTTTTTAACAAACTGAAACAAACAAGCCCTTATTATGATTTTTTAAAACAAAATAATGAAATTAACAATAACCCATCTCAATAGAGATTTGAACAAATATTAGAGATGGTTCTACTTCTAACAAAAAGGTGTTTTGGCCAAATGTGCACAATTAGTCATTAAGTCGGCCTTGCAATTATTTTTTTTAAGTGGATAAGGCCAACATCACAGTTTCTAAATTGTGGTTTAGTTGCCTTAATCTTCTTTTTCAAGAGATACCAACCATATTCTTGATTATCCTCCCCTTCAATAAAATTAATCAATCTTTTGCGATTAGACTCAAAAATCACATATTATATGCGTTGCAAATATAAAAATAAGTAGAATTGTAATTTTAAATACCATTTAACAATTTTTGAGATATTAAGTAATAAAGTGTTTTATAGTGTTTTGATCCGTGAAAGTGAATGACAAAAAATAAAATAGAGATTTTAGTATTAATAAAAAAAAAGTTATTAGAAGTAAGTTTTGTTATTACTTATTTATCATGTATAATCATAGATTAATAATATGTTTTTCTAGTCAACTATTAATATTATCATTTGGTGCTCTCATTTGTATTTTTGTTGGTCTCAACATCGTGAAAAATAGTTTACCTAATAGTCCTATCTCGGTTTATTAACCAACACCAAACGTTAAGTTCTAGCCGTTATAAAACAATAAGACTCCATATTGAACCTACTATAATACGTGTGGATGTTGAACCTAAACTTATGTCTAGCGATAATTTTGGATCTAGTAATGACAACCATCTTTCGAATATCAAGTTACGTCGTGAAAACAAGTTTTCGTTAGCAAATTTAAAACATACATTAGGATTAAAGACTTATCAATATTAAAGCTTGAGTAGACATACATAAAACATCATGACCTATTTAATACATGAATATAATGACTACATCTAACTCCAAAAAAGAGATTTTTGGCTATGCTTAGTTATCATATTTGTGTCGATAATCCCACAAAGACAGGTTTGAAAGTTTATCGGCCCTATCACTTAAGATTAAAGATTCTATCAGGTGGCCTTAGCCACCTTGCTTGATTGGGCACACCATCCCTGCCCTTAGCACACAAACCTTTTCTTCATCATAAAGTACTTTAACTTTGAAGTGTCACCTGTCATCTTGGTTTCACTAAGCGCGTCTATGATCATGGCCTAGTCAGCCTTGCTTTGCAAGGTTTTCTTTAGCTTGGTCTTTACGTCCTGAAATGTTATTTTCCAGTCTTTTTTATAATTTTTTTAGTTGTGCTAGAAAAGTCTTAACAGGTGTTCTATCATTTTTTTAGTGTTATATTGATGACTTGTAAAATAAATTAATAAGTGCCTACATATTTTACATAAATTTAAAATTTATCAGAATGCAACAATTCTTTGTGAAGCTCATGGCTAGCTCCATATACTTAATCTCAGGAAAAAACAGTTATGCAATAATTGTTAGAATTAATTTAGATTTAATTAGATATTAATTTATATTTAGGAATATCTTTTAGATTGTTTATATCTTTGTTAGAAGATATATATCTTAGATCTTCTTAGATCTTTGTAGAATATATATTTTAGATTTAATTTTGTGTATAAATAGCCTAGTGGAGTAGGTTATTGTAATTCATTGTAAATCCTTATTTTGAAGATATCAGTAAATATTCCTTTTTCCTTTTATCTTCCTTGTGCACCAATAATTGGTATCTAGAGCCCCAACTCGAAATCTACGGGAAAAGAAGTATTGTGATTAAGAATTATAATATTCTGATTCTGAGAGTTTTGAGAAAACATTGATTTGGGAAATTCTGCGTAAATTGCATAAGGTAGAAGATGAACGGAAACGGTGGCGATATTCATTCCAAGCTTCCCGTATTTGATGGCAAAAACTGGAATCCTTGGAAGATCCAGATACACGTGTTATTTGGCTCTCAAGATGTGTTAGAACTTGTTACTGATGGCTATAATCTGTTAGAAGCAGATGCAACATAGGACCAGAAGATAGCACAGAAGGCGTTGAGGAAGAAAGGTCAGAAAGCGTTGTTCTACATCCATCAATGTGTGGATGTGAATGTGTTTGAGAAGATTGTTGATTCTGAAACATCAAAGGATGCATGGGACACACTGGTCAAATGTTACGGTGGTGACGCATCAGTGAAGAAGGTGAAGCTTTAGTCTCTCAGAAAGAAATATGAGAATCTCAACATGAAGGACAACGAGAAGGTTTATGAATACATCTCTAGAGTGATTTTGATCACTAATGAGATGAAAGCTTGTGGAGAAACTATGTCTGAACAAGTAACTATTGAGAAGATCTTGAGATCTTTAACTTCTGAGTTTGATTACATTGTGGTAGCAATTGAACATTCTAAAGATCTGAGCACCATGAGAGTTGAAGAGCTGCAAAGTAGTCTAGAGGCGCATGAGTTGCGTATGACTGCAAGAACTTCTGAGAGGGAAGTAGAGCAGCAAGCTCTGAAAGTAACTTCTGGTAAGAAGCATCAGAAGCAGACTTGGTCAAAATCCAGGAAGAAAACTAATGGTGGTCAAAAGTCAGGAGCTTCAAATTCTGATAGGCAGAAGAATGTCTAGAAGGAAAAGGAGAAGTCTGACAAGAAGAATGTTCAGTGTTACTGTTGCAAGAACTTTGGTCACTATGCCAGAGATTGTTGGTCCAAAAAGAAAGGACGTCAGAAGAAGAAAATATAGCAAGAGGAGACTCTGATGATGAACCTATGCTACTGTTGGCTTCTAAACCTGATGATCTGAATTCATCAGAATGGTGGTATATGGGAACAAGGTGTTTGTGATACGGTGAGAGAACTGACTTGAGGTTTTGCGTTTCGTCGCAAATGTTTCGGTTTAGCAAGAATCGCCACTGACTTTTATTTTATCCAAAAGGAAAGGTAAAAAAGCACAGGAAAGACCTTTGAGATGTTTTCTTGAGTTCGGGGGGTAGATTATGAAAAGGGAAGGTGCTAGCACCCTTTTCATTCATGGTTTTCCATGGGCTCTTAGTTACTTGCTTAGATCACTTGCTTTGCTTTTGCAATTGTTTGAAATGGTGCTTTGTGTGATTTTGAAAGTATTTTGAAAAGAGGCCATCGTTTAGGCGATCTTTGTAATGATTCTCGTTCGTAAGAATGTATACAAAGATGTTTGTCTTTTGAAAAATGTTTCAATGTTTTGAAAGTTGTTTGGAAATGTTTTTGAAATGTGTGTGTTTGTTTGAAAATAGCAAGGATTGTTTTGCAAATTGATCAAGTAACTAGAAGCATTCTACCTACTCAAAAGTCTTTCTTGTACATTTTTATTCCTTTGACATTGTTGATTTACCATTTCTTTGGTAAACAACCATATCTTTGTATGTTAAACGGGACGGGCATGGGTAATCGTATGACCATGATAGCAATGTTGCCAAGTATCTTAGCATGTTTGAGGGACCAAGATCATTTGTTTTTTAGGCAACTAAGTCTAGTGTCATCGAGGGTGTGATACGGTGGGAGAACTGACTTGAGGTTTTGTGTTTGTGTTTGCAAATGTTTCGGTTTAGCAAGAGTCGCCACCGACTTTTTATTTTATCCAAAGGAAAGGTCAAAAAGCACAGAAAAGACCTTTGAGATGTTTTCTTGGGTTCGGGGGGTAGATTACAAAAAGGGAAGGTGCAAGCACCCTTTTCATCCATGGTTTTCCATGGGCTCTTAGTTACTTGTTTAGATCACTTACTTTTGCTTTTCAATTGT